ACTGTAAAAATAAAAGCACGTTTATTTTAGGAAAAATGACCAGAGGATATTAGGCATTTCTTAAACATTCCAACATTTCTTTTTAAAGGAATTTGACTTTCAGTATTACAGGATTGAGCTGAGCACTCGCTCAACATCTGACAACAGCTCCAAGACTCAATGATGGCTTCCAATCAAAGGGCTATACAACTTTCGTCTTTTATATTAAAGCCATATAGCATCATCTGGACTGTTCATATATTCCATTTGCTTTAATACCAGGACCTATCATACTCTTGTCATCAGAAGCATTCTTAATTATTAAAGTGAAAGAAGACTGGTTTTAATGTAGTGTGTGTGAGTGTCTGTGTGAGTATGTGTGAGTGTGTGTATGTTTGCTGTGTGAGTGGTGTGCATGCCTGTTGTCCCTGTGTGTATGGAGACAGAGGTTGATGTAAAGTATTGTCTTCTATGACTGTCTATCTTATTTTTGAGACAGGGTCTTCTTTTCTTGAACCAGAGGTTGAAGAAGCCATTTTTGCTAGACTAGCTGGCAGCAAACTCCAGGGATCCTCCTGTATCCATACTAGTGTGTGGTTACTGTCTCTTTCTGCCTTATTTGGCTTTTACATCTGAAACCATGTCTTCACATCTATGCAGGTAGCCCTTTACCCACAGAACCATCACCAAGGCCCCACTCTTAACATCTTAAACAAAATGCATAATGCAACACTGGAACAATTTCCCTTTTGTACTAAATACTGCCAGATATTGTTAAAATGTATTTCTGCTTTCACTTTCTACACCCTTGTGTATCCAGTTCATTTTAAGGAAGTCAAAAGTTCCCAGTCAGTGTAGAGAGGGGGCATCTACACTGCCTTGGATCTGGGCTATGGCCTTCCTCACACCATCTTCCCTAGGTCAACAAAAGATAGCACTGTGCATCCATTTTCACAGGTCAAGCCTCTGGACCCATTCTTACTCTTGTATTACCCACCACCCAGCTTTGCTTCCAACGTGTGTCTGCACCTTTGTTTCCATCCCTGCTGCTACAATCCGAGTCCAAGGAGTGATCTCTGACTTGGGTTTCAACCATAGTCACCGCAGTAGGTGGCTTACATTTTAGTCATTTTCCAGATGACCAAAAGAGACATCTCATGAGGGTTTCAGAATGGTGTCTCACACTCATACATGAGTTGAAGCTATAACAGGTAGGGATAAATCCCAAAGCCACGTTGATTTCACCACGGGACTTCCTTCTTAGTCACTGTGATCCATTTTATTTCCATTTCCAGGACACAATAAGCTCACTTTCACCTCAGAACTTTGGTTTTCTTTGGAACCTTCATCTAGAATGCTCTGCCTTCTGAGTTCTTCTTACTGCTCAGCTCCTGGCTTACATAATGTCTCTTTCCAAAGACTTTCTGTGACCCCATTCCACTCACTTTTCTCCTTTCTGTCATTTGCTATAATCATCAAACTACAGTAAATTCATAACATAGTTTGAAGAATTTTAAATTTAGATTAGTATTTCAGAGGGTTTTTTTTAAGTAAAAAATTAAACAAAGCCATTTTGTTGTAGACTTGGATAGAAAGACTCAAATGGCATTTGTATACTGAGATATTTACAAGTTGAGTCACAGGCTCACCGCAATACTGAACATATGACTCACACTTTACATCTTATGTGCTGTTAGTGTTTAGATGCTACGGCATTGTGCCAAAGGCAAACGAGGTGTTTACAGGATCAAGGACCTCAGGGATTGCTCCATCATGGTTTCCCTTCTGAGTTTAAGTTACTATCTTTGACCAGGTCCATCACGTTTGGAAAGACAGGTCTGTCTTCCTGTGTCCTATTCTTTTTAAAATGAGCCTAAGTTTCTTTCTTCTGTAGCACACACAGTTCCTAGTGTCAAGTCCCTGTCTGCCAGCTCTATGCCTCTCTCTTTGCTCGGCCTCTTGCTTGTGATCATTAGCATGGGCCTTCTTTCAGTTCTTGGAATGTAAGATCTTGGCTTCTCTGCCCTGTACCATCCCCAGATCCCTGTTTATGCTGTGCTCTCACTGGAATGCACGCTTTGCAAAGGCAGAGATCACTTCCAAAATGCTCACCATTGTGTCTTCAGAGGGCTAACCCAGCATCTGGCAGCACATAGTTATTGGATAAATATTTGTTCAATAGATGAATCAAGATGATAAGTAAGACTGGTTGCACAGTATGATCCAGCGTCAAGGCTGAATTTTTATATTGAAACCACACAGGAAATGATGAAGACAAATCCAGTGTGGGTTAGTTGTAGTAATGTGGATGGGATAGTTTGGAACAGTGTCAGATGTAAGGCACAACGTACATACAGTCTCTTTTATACGTAGAAATCAACCTTGTCTAAATTTCAAGAGTCTCTATCCTACCTGGAACCAGGCAACAGATGTCTAAACAGCTTTTGGAAAATAGACCTACATCTATATTCATATAACATAAAATGACATATTTATAACTGCACTCATTATAATATTTCCACAGTAAAATATATGGGTAAAAATGGTACATTGAGATAATATCCTTTCAATGGGATAGCATGCACTGTAGTGAGTGAGCTTTCTAAATGCTGAGATGGGAAATTTCATATTTTTACTAAATGAAAATAAAAGCAACATGTATAACAATGTGTGTGTATGTCATAATACTTCTTTGTATGTAAAAGAGCTGGGTATAAAGATCTCCCGTGTATATGTGTACAGCTTTTGTGTTTAAGCATAGTAAAAATGGAAATTGAAATATAAAATTCTCTAAGTCCAAGTTTCTATCATTTGTCTCTCCACAGAATGAAGGCTGTGATGAAGACTGCTTAGGAAAAGTAGGAAGTTCACACAGCAGCTGACTATATGAAAGAAGTTCTTTGAATTTTTCAATGTGTTTTCAATGCAAATGTATTTTAAATGTATTTTAAGTACCTTATTTTTTTGTATTTTCAAAACAAATAATGTATTTTAAATACAAATCCCAAGGCACACGAGACAAGTATGAGATATCACTTGTTTTTTAGAGATACCATTTCTATTTGAAGCTTTTCAGGTGATAACACTAATCTTTAAAAGTCAATATTTGAAGAATAGATGTAGATCTTTTTCTTATAGATTTAAAATGCACAAGGTGGAGATATTTCCAGCTAAGGATGAAGCTACCTTTACCTGGAAAGAGTAAAGGACAGAGATCTCTGTCTCTCTGCTCTGTATGTGCATTACAAGGGCAGAAGATGTCTGCCACTGTGCAACTCAAAAAGACAAACAGAGCAGCTGTACTACAGAGAACGGAACTGCTAGCCTAAGGAGAACCATTTCTAACAAGTAAGGATCTCAAGGACAGGAATTCCCCAATTCATCTTGGGCCTGTCACTGGAAAGTAATCAATAACTTTGAAAGGAATTTAAACTACTGATACAATTTCCTTGCTGATTGTAACCTGCTCAGTGACATTCCTCAGAGAGTCATTTTATATCTTATTTTCAATGTTGAGAGCACTCCCTCCCCTGTAGCACACCATAAAGAGAGACCGAGCATTTTGCAGTGTCCACCGAGAACTGACTGCATCACCTCCATTTTTCTAGACAGAACGTCAACTTGTAAGAATTCTGAATCTGCTCATTACTAATACCCTCCAGACTGTGGGATATCACTAAGAACATCATCATATCTTCTATCCTTTCCTCTTCCTCCTTGGGAGAAAAGTGATGGGATGTTCTGAACCCTCTAGCTTTCAATAGATGCAGTTATAGAACAGCAATCCTCCACGGCTTTGAAAACTTAGTGCTTCAATATTTCATGAATTGAAGACAACTGCGCATGTTTGAAATATGGTGTGCTGCTGACTCTGTCCCCTGTAAGCACAATTGGAAAGGGAAGCACAATTGCATCCAAGTGATTCAATTTAGTTCTCTGTCTCTATTTGGTCTACCTGCACCACCTGGTGGTAGTGTATGTTAAGTGCAAAGTTTGTTTGTGTTTCTCTGTGTGTGTACTTGTGTGCATATGTGTGTGTTGCAGGTACATGGAAAAGAGAATTTTAACATATGCATTCTTAAATACTCATTTAGATTGGTGATACAATGGCTCCATACTAAATATAAAATACAGTGGCAATCTTGCTCAGTACAGGAGAGGCACAAACTCATTTTGGAAGGCAAAAGGACTCTCCTTTATCCATTAGCTATTGGCCTTATAATTCCTGGATTTGTCAGTTATTTTTTATGCTATTGCTCTTAGGGAGGCACAAGTCAAAAACCAAGGTGAAACCATTTTTCTAAAAGAATGATAGTTTTGCAAATCATGCGTCCTTTGCTTCTGTGGGTCATCTGTTGAAATAAATCACAAGACACGATGTTAAAATGTCAGCAGAGCCCTGGTCTGATTAGGCATGGCCATTGATTTGATAGCTGAAGCAGCAGCTGAGCCACAGGGAAGTAAGTGACTGATCCAAGGCCACAGTGTTTGTTAGGATCCCAATCCAAAAGAAACCAGGTCTTCTTAGCCTAAAGACTCACGCACAATGGTGCAATATCTGTGAAAGGATATGTCCTTGCCTAGGAATACCTGCTTTCAGCTCCTGAGCCTTGGGTTGCTCTAGCACTTGGAATATGAAAGACTAACAACATACCCTCACCTACCAACTTCCCCTGCCCCAATGTATTCTAAAGATCATCTAACTATTAAAAAGCCCTTATATAAGTTCTAGGATTTTTTTTCACAGACTGTACAACCTCTGTGTTTAAAAGATCTAACATTTCCCTTTCTCTTTGTAACTGCTTGAGAATCAGAGGTCTGTTTCCACACAGTGGATGCCCACGTGTGGATTTAAACCAAAGCTGTGTCCATAGCTCCCCCTTATGACCACTCAACAATACACAAGCCTCCTTCCAGTCCTGCTGTTTTAGACAACGACCAGCTCACTGGTTAAGTTTTAATTGCTTCCAATGAGGTCAGCAAAGGTATTTATTGAAAATCTCTGAATAAAAGGCTCCACACACTCACACAAGCGCACGCGCTTACACGCGGAGAAAATCCTTTTGCCTGTTGATTTATGGAAACAATTATGATTCTGCTGGAGGATTTCTCAGCTGAGAAATAGTTTGTTGCTACAGTAGAGAGGCTCAAGTTGCAGGAGGCAGACAGCAGACACGGAACTCTTGTGTACCCAGCTGTTCCAAACAGAACAAGTAAGTTACTGTTATTTGTCTTTAAAACAAAGCTCAGTCTTTTCTGAAAGATTTTCTCTTTCTGTGGTTATTGTACTGTGGGGGGAAGACTTTTGAGCTGTGTAAATATCTACAGTAATTGTGCTGTAGTACGTATGGAAAGAGACGCTTGGAGTTCTCCAGGGCAACCCTGACACTTAACTTGAAAAATCTGGGCAGTTTAAGGGAAAATAATTATGAAGCGCAAATGTAAAAGCGTATATTAATGAATCCCAGGGAGAGTGCTCCAACTTTGTTGATAGCAGCTGTAAAACTCGATTTAATTCAATAGCTGTAAGTACGTGGTGTTTCTTAACAAGATAGTAACTGGAATGAATGGTACAGTTTTCTTGTGATGCTTCTCCACTAATGCATAGCTCTTCTGAATCTATGCGCAGAGTGGCAAAGATGTTAACATCCTCTGTGGAAGCTGTTTTAAATGTGCTTTCAATATTTAACTACACTGAGACGTTAGACTATTTACCTGCTGAAATTTATACATACATTTTTTTTATCTCCCTCTCTCCTCCCCCTCCCCATTCCTAATCTCTCATTGCAAACAGAAGTCAAGTAGCAAATGCACTGCAGCAACTGGCCTTGTGGCAACCTGTTTCTAAAAGGATATACCTATCAACTGTGTCCCTGAAGGAGGAATCCTGTTACTGTTATCAGAAGCTGAAAGTTAAGGTTAACAATTTGGAAAGAGCGACCACTTTTTCTCAAATTAATCTCCAGTTCACAGAGAGGAGGAGGCCCATGACCTAGGAGTAGCAATCAACGCAAGATTCAGTTCTCATTATGTTATTCATGAACACCCGGGGCACTACACTATAATGCGCAAATGGATACTGACACGGATCCTGCCAACTCTGCTCTACAGATCTTGCTTCCACCTTGTCTGTCTAGTGGGCACTATATCTCTAGCTTGCAATGACATGAGTCCGGAGCAAACGGCTACGAGTGTGAACTGTTCTAGCCCCGAGCGACACACCAGAAGTTATGACTACATGGAAGGAGGGGATATAAGGGTGAGAAGACTGTTCTGTCGCACCCAGTGGTATCTGCGGATTGACAAACGAGGCAAAGTGAAAGGGACCCAGGAGATGAAGAACAGCTACAGTAAGTGATGCCTTTATCACAGCCCTGCTGAGCTCTTTATGGTTTGTCTAAGATTCACTTTCTGGTGCCATGTTCTCTTTTCCTACGGGGGCAAAAATCAGTGTACTATATCAAGTCCTAATTTTTCTACCTTGAGATTTCTGCACTAAATCCCTAAAATATCTCTGGTATAAGGGCAAGTGTACTTACCTTATGGTTGGAACTGATATGATTGGAAAATCCTGTGTGGCTTAAATCCAAACTACTCTTTAGTAAGAAGACATGTCAGTGAGCACTCACGCTGATAGGCAAAGCTATCAGCTTGTTTCCCTAGCAAAGCTCAGTAGCAGTTTGTATAGAGTTCTCAGTGGGTGGTCACCAAACTACCAGCCCTTAGTTTGAGGAGCAGAGAATGTATCTGTTTTTATTAGTTGTGTTGTCTTTGAAAGGACTCTGCCATGGTACTAACTGGTTAAGAATCTACTTTCTGAGCACCTTCAAATGTGTGCTTCTGAAACAGACAAGTGTCTGTAATGCCCTCAACCATCTTTTCTAATGAGTTTGTATTAGAGTCCTTAACTCCCCATCCAACAGGTAACAGATCTTTCTAGCAGTTTCTTTATCAAGAGTCTTTGTCATGAAAGGTCTTTGTTGTTAATTTAAGAGGAAGATAAATCTGAGGAAGCAGAGCTGAGTTGGAAGACAGGTTGTGTCCAGACTTTCACCTGGAGCACCCCACTTTCCCCTCAAGACTCAGTTGTGCTTTTGCCTTAAAATGCTAGGGCTTGGGTTTTCATTTAATGGTTACAATTAGTAACTAATCTCAGTAGCATTAAATTCAATGACATAAAACACACACTCAACATTTACCTTAGGTATTTAAAACCCACACATGGAAATAGGTTTATTAGCACTGGTAACACATGGGTAAGTTGACACTGTATGTTTGATAGTATGTGTGGCAGTATAGTTGGAGACAATAGTATCTGTGACAGGATCACCTCAAGTTCTTATCTGTTTCTGAAATACCCTGTTGGCTCTAAACTCACTGACCAATAAATAAGAGTTTGGTGACTCTGTTTTTAAAATGAAAATGAGGGCCCTTCATTTCAGCCATAACTCATACAAACTGAGTAAAGAAACATGCCTGCTCTAGAGGACTGATTCTATGGGATTCAGCTCAACAAATGGCCACTGGAGGAGGATTTGCTGATAGACACTTCTATGTGGCCTTTTCATTTGATTTGAAAATCAGTGAACCTTATTGTGAATAATAGAATCTGTTCGTGGGGAGTTACAGCAGGTGTCCTGTCCCCTGTTAATGACTTTGGGGCACTTCCTTAGTGTTCCCAATCTTCAACTTGTAAACATGAATGTGTTTTTCAAAACACTTTCTTCTTCTCACAGTCTATTCTGTTCTAAATCTGGGAATGTACTACACAATATAAAGCCTCAGTACTCACTACCTAAATGTCACCCCAAAGTGAGGTAAAGCGCCTGTCCTCCTCCACAATAACCATGCAGTCAGGGCTAATTTCAAACTTTATAACAAGGTTATTATCATAGCTCAACTGTAGACTTTTTTTTTTAAACTTAATGACTATTACCTTTGAATGCTTTTTACTAACTCATAAAAAAGGTAAAAAAATAAATAGGTGGGAACATTCAGTGAAAATGAGTACTATGATTATTTGAGATTAAAGTAGTTACAATTGAAATACATACATATATGTGAATTTTATTTTGTTTGTGTTAAATTCTGGGAGCTCATGAATTTCAGGTATTTGTACACATTGACAAACTGGTAAAAATCACTTTATAATTTGAAACATGGTATAGTGCTAAACCTGAGAAGCCCTAAATCCTGTTTGGCAAACCTCATTCCCCTGAAGCAAACTCTATAGTAATAAGAAAGACAAAAGTCTCATCCTTCATCATGGTGTTGGAATATCAGAGTGTCTTGTACTCAGAAAGACTTGACATCGTTTATGCAAATAAGTTTCTTACAAGCCTTTTAAGTCTAGAGTTATACACTTTCTTGATATAGTACGATCTCCAGGAGAGAGAAAAGCCTCGTGAGAATCTCTCAGGTAAACTGTAAAATGGTTACCTCAATGGTTACCAAATGGTTGCCCTGCCATTCTACTGAAAAGACAAGATTTCCCCCAAGTTAGACAGACATGAAGGTACTTTTGTGTGCAGGAAATCCAAGAGTCAGAAGAATAAAGGAGAATAATGTACTGGGAGAAAATTCTGATAATAATTGCCTGTTTGTTGAGACAGACTTGCTCATTTTAAGAATGAACCTAAGCAGATAGAAGTATGTGAGGCTGGAGCTACTGAGTCAGGGACCCCAGATCCAAATGGTGTGCCCAGAAGAACTGGTTCACAGTGATCAAACAGCATGAGAAATGCAACCACAAAAGCTTAGGGTGGTTTCACAGTTTTCAGAGTTAGCTTGATGATCTGACAGAGGAAGCCCCCATGTAGCTGTCATTAGAGTGACTGGATTCAAATGAGTAGGGTTCAGAAAGAAATAAGGCTCAACATTGAACCCCAGACTTCCTTCTCATGGTTCTGTGCCTTCCACTTTTAAGCAGGTCCTTGAACTTCTCAGGAGGCCCTTTACAGTGGCATTGGTTTTCATTTTCTCCTTGTTAGCTTTTGTCTGAGTGAACGGAAACTTGACCTGAGGATATGGATGAGATTTGACAGGCTGCTTGCCTCCTCAGTGAAGCATGGAACCCTGGGGCCTGCACATGCTAGGCACACCTGCTACCCATTGAAGCACATACGAACCTCCTGGGAATATGCTTTATAAAACACTGGTAGATATGGACAGGCATGACAGAAATAGGTGAAAGATCTGGGAGTGTAATGTGCTTCCAAGGTGTTGGGCTGGGCTGGGTGGACCTAGAGCAGAGAGGAAGAGAGAGGAGTGGGGGGGGGTTGGCATTATCACTCATGTCTCAAATCTTCAGGGGAATTGAAACTTCACTTCAGGTATCGTGGTATTTGCAGCCCCTGCTTTAGTCTCCTCCATGCTAGATTATCTTGCCCAGAGCATTGAGTTTAGATCAGAGTAAGTAAATTGTATAGCAAAAAGACAACAAACAAACGAACAAACAAACAAAATCTTCCAAACAGTTCACCCAGGATTTGAGAATTTGGGAGGAGCCAAGAGAAGTAGACCACAGTTTCAACTCTTTAGGACAGCCAGAGAGGAACAGATCTCTGCTCCCTTCTCTCTGGTGGCCCCTCATTTTCATTCCACTCTATCGACAAAACTGGGATATAACAAGAAGAAGAGACACAGGAGAAATTTGTACACAAGGAAAGCATTGGTAGGCAGCCTCACGGAGGGAGAGGGAATGCATGGTCAATGCTTCAAGTGCTTGTGTTGTAAGGACTGTCCCTTGGAAACAAAGCCAGAGGCTGGATTTAGATAATTATTGGAGTGGCCAGTTCATCAGCAGACAGAGGCAATCACTCCACACCTGACAAGAATAACGCTGCTGTTTAGCTGGGAGCTGAGGTGCTGAGTGAGAGATGGCAGCAGTGAGAGACAGATGTGGGACGGAGGACCTAGCCCCTTAGGATCATTTTCCTGCTTTGTTTGTATTCAGTAACTAAAATATTGTGTTCCCAACAATAATTAACACCATCCATTCTTCTGGGGAACTCCTTGATGACCAGAGCTTCTGATTCTGGAGGAAACTCATCTGCCCTTTTGAGCATTGTTAGTCCATTGTAAGAAAGGGTTATTTGTTCTGAGAGTTGGCCAATGACTTGGCAACATTCTCCTTTGGATTGGTAGGCTGTGATGGGATGTGGCCTCCCAGTTGGAGGAATACAAATAAACACAGCATTGTTGGATTTGACTTTGGCCACAGAATCTCCAGCAACTCAATTGTCAACAATTCTTTGGGTGGGTTCCTGTCTGGCTAGTCTCTATCGTCCCCCCAAGTTCACTCAACATCTTAGAACACCAGGAGTGTAAATGTGCTTGTATCCCAAAGAGTTCTTAGTAATTTTTGTGAAAGAACAACATACACTGTCAAAATAAACAAAATTAAAAATGTAACAACTGCCTTTGAAAAAAAAAGATAAGGATCATGCCACACTTGTGGAACATGGGGGACATGTACAAAACAAAATCCTAGACATGATAGACAAGCTGGAATCTTCTAGAACTGGTAACTGGGATTCCTTATTAAAAGAATTTCAAGTCTTTAAAATATGAAAGATGAATAAACTGCTGGGGGGGCAGATTTAGAAATGTTGGCTACTCTGAAAACTCTTATATTAATTTTTTCCATGTTCTAATTTTATTTACTTATGGCAAGTATCTGAAACTTACTAAATGCTACTCACTTCACTAGCTCAAATATGTTCTCTTAACATCTCTTCACTTAAAATAACCAGTTGTTCATATTTACTTTTCTTAGTTTTAATTCTATGTGTGTCTGTGCAGATGTCTAGTGAGGACACAGGTGTTAAGAACCCCTCAAGGCAGAGTAACAGGAAGGTTGTGAGTTGCCCGATATGGGCTTTAAAAATCGAACTCAGGTCTCTGCAAGAGCAGTCCATGCTCATAGCTACAGAGCCATCTCTCCAGATCCACACTGACCATGTCTGCGTTACAGTCATTGCTGCATTGATCTAGATCCGACCGTCTTTTCCGACCGCTAAGCCGTGTAAGATCTCTGCAGCCTGTGGGTTAGGAGAACTACAGGCCCGAGTGACAGAGTGACCCGAGGGAGCAGGGGAGGGAAGGAGGATTTTAGACATGTGGAAGGAGCTGCTCTTTCTAATTTTTTTCTTCTATTTCTCAATCTTGGCTGAATATTGTATTCATCTGGGGCCTGTAAAACTTACTGATGCCAGATCCCATCCACAAAGACTCATTAAGTTGATCTAGGGTGCAGTCTGGGCATCAGGAATTTTAAAAGCTCTCTAGATGATTCCGAGCTGCTTTCAAGGCTGAGAACTACTATACTATGGGAATCACATTAGAACAC